GGAGGGGATAGCTGAGGAGAGGCTGAGGGAAGGGCTCTCTGCCCAGAGACCAGTGCTCTACCTGTAAGCATCAGAGAGGGTCAGAAAGCCAAACTCGCTGGTGCTGTAGATGATGAGATCTTCAGCCATCTTGCTAAGGTGGATCATCAGCAGGGTGGCAACAGAGAGGAATTCCACTGCAAAGAAGGCAGGAAATCAGGAGGTGAAAGAGGTGCTTGTTTGCTTGACAACCCAGGGAGCTCTGACTGGAGATTTGGAGTTATTTCTTTGTGAGGGATTTCAGTCCCCTTCATTAATGGAGGTCTACTGCAAAGGTCTCAGAAGCCTGCTTCTGAGATAGTGGTGGGAAGGAGTAATTGAGTTGTGCTTACCCACAAAGTCTCTCTCGCTAACAGCATCCATGCTGTTCAGGCTGATGGAAGCAAAGTCCAGCTCTGTAGGGAAGGTGACAGACAGAGAAGGTCAGGCTTGGCATGACTGGAGCTTGAATGCATGAGGCTGCCCCAGCATGCAGGTGACTGTGAGCCCTTGAGTAGTCCCAGGAGCACAAACATGCTTAGCAGGGTCTTTGTTATTAGCCCAGGCAGCCACTGTGCAGCAGAGGTGGCTCCTACTGCTCTGACCTCACAGGCATTGCCTGTCTCATTGCAGTAAAAAGTCTTATGAAAGAAAGGCTTTGGCTCTAGGACAGTGCATGAGGCTGCCATTGGGAGCAGTGTATCAATGCTTCCCTCCCTCCTAGATATTAGAAGTAGACCTGTGCCTCTCGGTCACAGGGAGACATTTACCACTGCGCAGAAGCTCTCTATCAATATCCAGTGGGTTGCCAGCCAGAGCACCGCTGCCAGGGAAGAAAGAAACAAAAGTCATGCAAGGCACCCTGCATATCCCAAACAAAGCTGAGCTCCAGGAAGCAGGGAATGCACCTCTGAAGACTTTGCAGAGCAAAGCAAGGCGCAGTGACTACACAAACAGTAGCCCTTACCTTCCCAAAGGTAAGACGTTCATCCTCCTCTTCATCTCTCCCAGGCGCTCAGAATCACGGGTCAGAGCAACAGCATGGCTAGGAAAGGACATGAGAGATGAAGCACCTGAAGTCAGAAAATGTCCCATCCCTTCCCAAGCAGTGTGCTGCTACGCCTGCAGCCTGGGAGCCCCTCTCGAACAGAAGAGGCTTGAAATGGAGCTGAGGCATGAAGGCCCTTTGCAGTGGAACAGCTACCAGCCATGCAGGACTCTCCATGTTACCCCATCGGCTAAGGTGTAACTGTGGCCCAAGCATGGAGCACACAGGGAGTCGGCCTCCAGAGCCACACAGGAACATGGGGAGTTCCTGTTCCAGTTGGCAGGGTTACCTCCACCACCCCGGGCTGCCCCCACAGAGGATAATGTCCTTCGAGGCTTCAGCTGAGCAGGACCCCAAGGGTGGAGAAGGCTTCCTCCAGCCAAGTGTGAAAGGTGGTTACCTGAGCAAGAACTGGCTCCATCTGATGGGCTGAGCTTTCTGCAGGTGGGTGTAGCCAGGGAGGATAACATCAATTTCTCTGCATGTGAAAGGAGAGCAAGAGGTGAGCAGCTGCTGTCAGGATAGGAGGCAGTGGCAGGTACACTCCAGGGTTCTCTAGCAATGTCACAAAGAGAACTTCTTTAGCCTGGGTTGTGCTCAAGGTGGTCTAGGTCTTCTTCTCCCTGTCACCTT